AACAACATACAACTTATGACATAACAATAACACGATGCAACATGATGCAATTAACGAGTCGTAACGAGGTTAGCGAGATGAGTAAGAAATGCATTAAGATGCGACGAAGTTGATAAAGGCACTACTGCGCGCGACTGATTGTGTGTGCTTATTGTCGATTTACGTTGAAATTTTAGTTCTCCGTTCTCGTGTGTAAAATAGTACTGTCATCGTTTGTTAATCTTTGTGACGTTGGTGCATTCGAACGGAGAAAATTTATCATAACATCAATTGGACCGAGTTTAACAGAATGGAACCAAGCCACATCAGCTATTGCCAAGTTTAACTGGGCAATTAAATTTTTTTCGAGAGAACGTTTGTTCGGATTTCTTTGAAAATTTTAAGGAATTTGCTTTGCACCATGGAGAATTTTCACTGAAATTTGTACGAAAATCCGCACAACCGTTTTCATGTAGAAAATTAAATTGCCCAATTAAATTTGGCAGTAGCTGATGTGGCTTGGTTCCTTTCTGTTTAACGCGGTCCAATTATCAACAAAACAAGCTGCGACTCTCATCCACCATTTTCAATACCGAGTAGTGCATGAGAAACTTTTCTCTTCCTCTTTTCATTTCATCCGGATTTTCTCTAATTTTGACATTCACCTGTTAAAATTTAATTGATGGTTCAATGTATCAAAAATATGCCTTTTCATGAATGATATGGAGGATTATTAAATGGACGTATTTATACGAAAGGGAACTAAGCGCCAAATTTCCAAATTTCAGTTTTTAACGGATCTGGATTCTCCATGTAATAGGCTGCTCTCACACGTAAATATGCCCCCAAAATACTAATTTCATCCCCTGGAATCAGCCCCTGAAAAATCGCAAAACAGGGAATCAGCGATTACGAATAAAATCAAAAGGAACTATATGTAGTTCCTTTTGATTTAATGCGCTAACCCGGATTCCGAATTAAATCAAAAGGCGCTATATCTCCACTTGAATCACTTGATTGACGCGCGCTCGGCGAAGCTTGGTGGAAACTTGGTGAAATTCAGTACCGGGGGGTATTTTTGGACGGGAAACTCGAATTTCGGGTCAAATTTTGAAAATTCAGAAATCCAAGATGGCGGACATGGCTTAAAATGCTATCTCGGCCCCTATCCAGCCGATCTTGGTGAAACTTGATATCAGGGGCTATTTTCGCATGGGAAACTCGAATTTCGGGTCAAATTTTAAAATTTCATAAATTCAAGATGGCGGATGTGGCCTAAAATATTATCTCCTATTTAAACGCGCATCGCCAAAAAATCCCAAATGTCGTCCCCTGAGTGACGGTCACATATCGACCGTGCGTTCCCTCTGGCTCGATCGATGTCAGTGTGCACTGACATGGACAAGGGGCTTTTAACGAGCGAACAAATTAACGAACCCATCGGAATCACTTAATTTTCATTAAAATCACTGTTAGGTACTTTATTGGAATCGGAACAGTATTTAGAAATTCATGAGTATTAAGAGCGCGCTGGAAGGATTACGTGGTCAAAAGCGTGACCGTCACCTAGGGGTTCGTCAGGCCCCATCTTGACTTCCTCGGAGACGCGAGTTTAAATGGGAGCTCAGAATACGCAACTTCGAACTTGTTTTCCGTGGGTTAATAATGTTTCAAAAAATCGGAGAAAATGCCAGCGAACTGTGCGTACTCAATCCTCCAAAAAAATGCAAAAATTAAAAATTACTGAATAACCTCATTGTTAAAATTTTAAACTCCGATATGGCGGATGTGGCCTTCAACAATAGCTCAATGCCTGAATCGTTTGTGTGAAGTTCGGTATTAGGGGCTCAAAATGACAACAGAAACTGTTTTATTTAGATACGAAAATTTTAACATAGGTAATCAGCACATGGAGGGAATTCACGATCCGACGCTGCTAGGTAAACCACGCACCTCGACGAGGCGGTGTATTGTGAACGTACACGGAGAAAAAAAATTGGCCTCCGGCCAATTTATGCGCGGCGCAAGCGCCGCGTACCGGCGCTTCGCGCCGGCATGTGGGGGGGCTTCGCCCCCCATCATGGTGCGAAGATCGCACAAGACTTTCTCGCTTTTGCCGGCGCTCCGCGCCGGCATAGACACTTTTACTGCAATATTTAGAAAAATACTGCCAATTTCACAAAATCATAAAGTTTGATTGGAATTTTGATCGCAGGATAATAGTTATTAAATTTTTATTCAAACCACTGCACTATATTGTAAATGTCTTCGAGATATAGGATGAATTCATACATTCGGACTCGACTTGTCGATATTATGAGGCATCTTCAATTAAATATGTAATTGATTAATGATGCCTCCTATTAAAGACGGCGATCCGTAAAAATCTTAGCTTTTCTACGATTCATTAGGATCCATTAGATTCATTGGCATCATACTTCAGATACGATTATATGTTATAATCTTTCCTTAAGCACGGTCAAAAGCCATCAAAAATCTACTTCAATGGGTAGATTGACTATTCGATGTTTAAATAGTCTTAAAACTAAACGGTTTTCGCTTAGCATCGTCCAAATTTTAAATTTGGCGGGCGAATCTACCTGCTGGTAATGGTTCACCACCCGCCCGCCAAGAGCGCCAGTTCCTTAGCGCGTATC